TTGTGTTATCTATGTGGATATGGACTGGTAGTAACTTAGATCATTAACTTCTCCAGCATCAACCTCATAATTTGAGCCATAACCATTTTCAATCAATCATAGATCCATCCATAACTAGTTTCAATCAATTTGTCACACTACCAAAGACGAACCGAAGAGACTAAAAAACCTAATTAAAAGCTTTTGAAATTTACCTATCTTTTTGTAGGATGGATGAGGAAGAATAATAATCAACTAAGAACACCCATAGTAACATTAACCACAAAACACTCTTTACACACCCACATTGGCACCTTTGTATCAAGCTTCACATCACGATAACCAAACTCAACTTCACCTTTGTATCAGGCTTCACATCTTCTTCTTCGTCATCAAATACAACATAAATCGAAGACCAATTTCCCGAAACTCACTTGATAGTTTGTGGCAGTACACACAATCTCTTTCTTCACTCTCAAACTCTTACGATTTGTCTCATTTCAAACAAATTTCTTTACTCCATGATTCATTAAGCAAATCAGATAATCTAAAATGCTACAATAGATGAAGAAATTAAATAGGATTAGAATTCTATACCTTTATATAATGAAACTATCAGCCACAAAGAATTGATAGGAAAATCAGAATTGGTGATGGATGCACCTGACAAAACTGAATTAGCTACATACCATGATGCAATCTCGTTCCCGTACATCGATTGATTTGTTGTCCATCACCGAAAAGCACCATAAACAGTGTGGTAAATGTGTAATTGTGATTAACGTTAAGGGTCCAGCAATGACGGGTGAGAAGGCAATTCCGTTGACCAGTCGACGACGATTCCATGGCTGAACCTTAGATTGATGACTCTTTCTTCTTCTGCCAGATTTGTTTGAGAAATAACGGAGAGAGAAACGATGATGATAGAGAAGGTTTTGTTTTCTATATTTTTTTTTTTAGAGGATAAAAGCAAAGAATTTTGGACTAAAAGAAACGATGAAAGAGAATAAAAAGGTTCGAGATGTCTTTTACACCCACAAAAGTGTCTTGGTGTAGCAAAGTGTCTCTTTTGTTTATTACTTAGCAAAAAAGTGTCTCTATTGATAATTTTTCCAATTTTGGGTCTTTCTTGTATTAAGAAAATTGATGAAAAAATTATGGGCCTATGCTTTTGCACATCTAGCACTCTCTCAGATCCGCCCTTGGATTCAATGAGATTAATATTAAGATGAAGTGTTTAAAGGGGGGGAAGTATTCAATATGACAATTAAAGATAATTCAGTTTAAATGAGTTTTTTGATGATTTTAATGATTTTGGGTGATTTTATGGAATCTTTATGATAATAAGTTAGTTGGCAATTGTGAGATTGACATCTGTCCAAAACAATAAAAAAGTATTTTTAAAAAGGGCTAATTAGGAGAATAACATATTTATGAGACATAATTTAGAAAGTAACATGTGAAAAAAATAATTTATGTAACTAGCAAAGAGAATAAAATATTTGACGAAATTGTCCCTACATTAACTATTTTCGGAATATAGTTACATATTCTATTGAACTCAAAATATAGTTGTCTATTTTTTGAAAATATCTAACTATATTCATAGCATTATTATTTACTGTACTGATTTTAGAAGTACATAGTTGACTAAATATAAATATTTTTCTAGTAATTATTTATTTAAACAAACATAGTTACTATTTGTCAATACAAAACAATTATGTGATATATAGTTTGCTTAATATATAGTTAACATTTTTGTATAGTTAACTATTTATATATATATATATATATACACATAGTTAACTATAAATTTTACTTATACTAAATATATAAAGAGATATTTATGCATACATGCATTTTAATATAAATATGGATAACTACATGTAAATATATCAATTACATTAGTATAGTTAGCTATAATGTGGGATAGTTAAAAATATAATTAATTACATGAATATATAATCAATACATAAATGTTTAGCTAAATAGTTTTGAAATTTTGGTAAACTACATGCAAATATAATCAACTATATAAGTGTATAGTTACCTATAATGTGGAATTGTAGTTAGAAATATAATTAGCTACAATAATATTAGCTATAGTTAGTTATTATAGTTAGAAATATAATTAGCTACAATAATATTAGCTATAGTTAGCTACAATAATTTAGTTAGGTATATATTATTGGCTATATTATTACTGCATATATTATTGGCTCTCTAGCTATTA